ATTTTAAATGACTTTATTAGACAATTGCCCTTAATTTTTCTTAAATTTTCCTTAAAAATGGAATTGCCATGACCCCCTACAGCTTTCCATGAGAACTGGGATCTCACATATCTCCATCTGTGTTCAAGGCAGGGAAACCAACACAACACAAGTACTTACCTTGTTGGCTTTAAAGAATCACAGTGTCATCCATGATAGCTGCTCACAGACTGTGAAATGTGCACACTTACACCAACCTCTCCCCTCCGTGAGATTGCCACTTTCGGTTCCTGTACTCACTGTGCCAACTACCTCTACTCATTAAGGGATTCATACCTGGAGACACAGTCATTCTTAGGTTTCACTCATGCACCCCCATCTGCTTAACCATTCAGACCCAAGTTACCGCTTCATCAATTTTAAAATCTTCCCTTCCAGTAACTGCTTTAACCCCAGTTCCACTGAGCATTATCTCCCAATAGGACACAGAGAATATCTTATATAATAATGCTCCCTGGCCTTTCTGCTATTCAGTAAAGCTCCACACCATAACCAAAATGACCCTTTAACATGGAAGAGCTAATCTTATTGCTCCCCTACTTGACACACTTCTCCTGTTTCCCTATTTACCAGCAGCAAGATAACAGAAGTCCTCACTCTTTTACAGGTCACTGTCTACTCAGTTCTTACCTTCTTCTTCTGTCTCAATTTTATACTTCATTTCTACTAAGTAGACCTGAATTCCCCACACAGCTGTGCTCTTTAACCCTTCTGTGTTTCTGCAAGTTACTTCCTGTGCTTGAATTTTCCTTTCTAGTTTCTTCACATGTATAATACTTTGCATATGCACATGTATGATGTATGTGTATGTATACATGTGCCTGTGCATTCCTGTGAAGGCAGGTGGGCTCATACATGTCACAGCAAGCATGTGAATGTCAGCAGACAGCATCAAGTGTCAGTCCTCATCTTCTACCTTACTTGAGATGGATCTCAATTGTTGTTGACCTCTAAATATTCCAGGCCAGCTGACCTACAAGCTTCTGAGAATTCTCCTGTCTCTGCCTCCCATTTCTCTGTAGGGTTATAGATGTGGACTACCATGTCCAGCTTTACATGGCTTCTGGGGTTTTGAACTCAGTTCCTTATGCTTGTGCGGCCAGTATTTTACTCACTAAGCCATCTCCCTTCCCAATACTTCTTAATATTTCAAGACTTCCTTTTATGAAAATGCTTTCAAAATCCTAGAGTTGGCTAAGACTCATCACTTAGCTCTATGAACTTACAGTCACTACAATTCAACGGCTGGATATAGCCTCCTCATCACAGAGGGGCAAGGAAGGTTGAAGATAAGAAGCTTATCTTAGTGTCTGAGCTTCTTCAGGTAACGACATTTCTTAATTCTCTCAAACTAGATCACCAGAAAGGCTCAGGGCTGTTCTATATCCACCTCTTCAATACAGTGGCTGTGCACAGTGCCTCTCATAACTTATCATTCGAAATAGGAATGTGTAGCCTGCACTTTTCACCAAAGAATGCTCCTGTGTCTTCATGAATTGCTCTTTTTTTTTTTTCACTTTTACAGTTTTCTGGTCATGACCAGTTCAGAAACTCATTATCCCATGTAGCTCTCACTGCTCTGTAAGATAAAGGGTGGCCAATAAATTTAGTAATATCTGATGTTGGTATGTACATGGGAAACTGTTATAGATATACAGACACACAGGTACAGCCACTTATATCAAGCCTGTAACTATTCCTACAGAACAGTATATAAATTTAAAATATTACAATGCAATAAAAAAGTTCAACGTAGCAAAATCTTTCACTCAACATAAGATCCTCAAGGACTATAGTTTCTTGCTCATGGCTATATCTTAGTACCAGGATTGGAGCTGGACTACATACAATTGGATGTCAGTAATGACCATTGAGGGAGAAGCTGCATGGACGGATGGGTGCTTTGAATAATTAATGTATAATTAAAAATATCAGTATGGCTTTATAACTCTGGCAATACAAAATATTTTCTACTTGCTTTGTGACATGTAGTATCAGTGTGCTTTATCAGACTTGCTTTGAATGGTCTTAGACTAGAATGTTTTCTGTCCAGATGAGTATTGAGAAGCTAATTTAAAAAGTTGTGTTAGGGGCCATTGAGTTGGTTCAGTGGATAATGGTTCTTGTTGCCAACCCTAATGACCTGAGATCAATCTCTGGTACTCACATGGTGGAAGGAAAAAATTGACTTCTATAAGCTGTTGTCTGACCTCCATAGAAAGAAAAAAAAATCAGCATGTAGTTCCAGAGTGATATAACAATTTAATTTTATTGGTTAAATGTCATTACCATTAAAACTGGTCTAGCCTCACTAAAGTACATACACGTTCAGACATGCCCATTCACTCATATAACATGCAATGTTGTATCAATGGCTATGAATAATAGCCAGGCAAAATACGAGTGTATTCAATAAGAAAGCATGTGGACAGTCCTGAAGGGAAGTGAGGAGAAGAAAGGAAGGTAAGAATGATCAGGTTTTTCCTTTAGGTTTTATGTAAATTGATTATTTAATTCTTTGGAAACTAGATCTGTTCAACTCACCTTCATATAACCAGTCAGCAATTCCATTGAAAATTATTCCTTCTTTTCCTGAAGATGTGAGTCGTAAGGAGCTGCTCTTGATATCAGGTTGATAGTAGATATTATTTTCAAAAATATAAATCTGAATCAAGAAATAGAGGAAACAAAGAAAATTCCAAGCATGTTAATATGCCTTTTAAAAGCATTTGTATTAGGAGATGTGCACTGAATAGCTAATGATTTTCTTTGCCTGTTTTCAAACTATTTTCATGTGAAAATAGTTTATATTTGTATTGCATCAAATGATTAATACCTGTATCCATCCTCACTGTATCAATATCAAGCTGTCATTTGGAAACTATAGGACATTCTATACTGATGCTTTTAAATTTATATTTTCATCAACAGTATTTCATCTACTCAATTATGCTGCTCCCACACCACAAAATTGCTTTGGCTATGAGATATTTTGCATACTCAAGAGACTGATAAATGAAACTAGATGTCATTTTAGTAACAGCCAACTGACTCTTAGAAAGGCTTCAGTGTGGGCTTATGCATCAAAAAATGTGCTTAGTGATCAATAAAATAGTCTTCAGAAACTCTAATTCTGTCCATATTGAGTCACAGATTCACTGATAATTAGCAGTAACACTACAATTCTTCTGAACAGTATTCAAAACACAGTAGTCCATATAACAATATCCCTGGCAATTCCTCTTTAAAGAAAAGAATACTATAACCTCATGCTTGAGAATTGAAATTTTAATTTGTGTATGTCTGTGTATGCATATTTGTGTAGGGAAGTGTGAATGCATTGTTACAAGCAGGTGGAGGATAGCCTTGGGTGTCATTCCTCAAGAGCCAGCCATCTATCCACGTTTTCTGGAGACAGTCTCTCAAAGGCCTGGAATTCACCAAGTAGGCTAAGCTACCTGACCAGTCACTGTCTTCATCTTCCCCAACACTAGGATTATAAGCTCATGCCACTGTGCTCAATTTTTCTCACGTGGGTTCTGGGGGCTCAAAATCAGGTCCTCATGCTTAAGCAGTTACCCACTGAGTCATCTCCTCAACCTGTGAAGCATTTTAATCTGAACATATCATGCAGTGTTCCAAAATAACTTCAGCAGCAGGAGTTCCAATAAGAGGATCAATAGTGCTCACATGAAAGGAAATGTCTCTGCTGTATAAAAAATCAGTACAAAAGTAGTAATAATTCACTTGTTAATGTCTTTAATGTCAAATGCTTGAAGTTGTTCATCCATATGGTATTGCAACCATTCATAGAAACAAATTTCTTCTACATATTAGAAAAGTCAAATACTGTCAATTCTGGCCTAGTTGATTCTAGATCAAATGTTCCACAAAGAAGGTGTAAAACAGCTAAATGCCCATTCATTCAGCTTGCTCTGAAACAAAGCATATCAAAGAGAATTAACAAAACTCAAGAACTTCCCAAACAATTGTCTGAATAATAGTGAAAGCAATATTTCAAGTAAAAATAAAATAAAATAAAATTCTTAGAATCTATAAAACACCCCTGATACTCTATTTTAAATTGGGGAACTTGGAAAGAACTAGTGCTAGGTATGTCTAATTAATCACTCCTCCAATCTCTTGTATTAGTGGTAATTGTGTCAGCCTAAGAATGAGAATGTTCCCTGGGGTGTAGAATTAGAGTAGGTTTCTTACAATCAGGCAATATGAATTTAATTACAATCATAATGACTTTGATATTTTCCTTGACCTTTCTACATCTCAGTTTTGTTGTGTATAAAATGTGGGCAAGAATTACGAATGTCTTACATATCTACTGTTGGGACTGAGATGGTGAATGTTCAGAGCAGAAGACACATCACACATGGCTATCTCTACATGCAAAGCTGACTTTGTACATATTAACATACTTCAACATCCTACGCTTTTGGATACAAACTGTTTTTAAACTAAGGAATTCAGAGCAGTAGTGTGATAGCAATAGTAGTGGTGAGGACAGGAGGAAAAGCAGGAGGAACTGTGAAGGAGGGAGATTAACAAACTTCATTACTGTTTGTATTTAAGTTTCGAATTTTTGAGGTGACAATAAGAAATAGACTTATTACTGAAAGCAAGGGTATCACACATGTAAAAGCTCAGTCTTAGATCAGGTGTTCTCAGTCTGGGGGGAAGTTTGATTTAAAAACCTCTGCAGTAACAGAGTAACTGAGAAAAAGTATCAATTTCATTCTAGGTAAGTGAAGCGTAAGTGAGGTGTGATATAGGACAAAACTGAAAAATTAGGAAAATCAAGGATTTTAATCTTTTCTCTTTGCTTGTCTGTAGAACTCTGCAGGCAAAGTTCTACTGATAAGTTTGTGTTTAAATGCTGACCATCACAAGAGAGGGGGCAGAAAGATTGTAAGAGCCAGGGAGGAGGTGCATGACCATAGGGAAACAGAGCTCCTAGGAACCTGCTCATATTGTTCTATGGCAATGGTGTCAGCATACACAAGTCCCACGCAAACTCAGGCAGACAATAATCCAGCATAGAACTGGGAAAATGAACAGCAGATCCCAATCTTAGCTGAAGTAATGTGGCAACTGATAGCTGTTAGATGAAGAAGAGCTGATATTCCTAAAACAAGGGACTATCTAGATAGGCTGACTAGACTCAATGGATGGACTTGCACTGGGGAACGTTGGAGACACTGACAACCCAGTAGACCTTAACAGGGATGACTGAGTATATGGGGATCCAGGGTGTGTGGGAACTATGGGAAGGTGTCAGTGGGGACGGGAGTATAAAGAAGATTAAGATTTTTTTGATCAGTTCTGTATGAAATACACAAAAAAATCAATAAAAAATTAAAAGATGCTGACATAACTAGTTAGTCACCTGTGTTGTGGTTTCTACCCCTTAACAGAAGCTTTCTCTTTTGCCTGAGACAGACTTTTAACATGTTTTTCAAACCTAGAAACATTTGCTATTAGCCAACCAAACAAAACGTTATAACCCAGTACCAAAGGTATAAAATGTAAAAGCTCCTTCCCTTCTGTGTCCACACTTTGAGATATGAGTCCCCTGGACCAGGGTGCAGCTTTAATAAAACCTGCTTTAGGACATTTCTGGTGTCTTGCCTCCTCTTCCCCGCTACAGGTATACAGTCTTTCCTAAAAAAAAAATATTCCTCTTTTGTATCCGGAGCTTCTAACATACCTTGTGAATGATGACTGCATCATGCACACCCAGCCACCCCAAGCTATTGCTGTGGAGTAAGCTTTTGTTACACAAAGTCGTACTGTTTCAAATCCTTTGTGTGCATAGATATTTAAGACTCAGGAATTAAACTAAGCTTAAAAGGCTCAGGAAATTAAGAAAAACTCACAAGCCTAGGGAATTTCATGAAATTTAGAAGATTCACATGGCCACTTCTCACAGGCATCAAAACAATATCAATTGCTTGGGAGAAGATACTCGTGACCAACCTGCCTGATTCAAGTTGTTCAATTAGCTTCTAGGATGCAGCCTTTGTGAGTTTTCATCCTTGTGGGGGTTGCTTCTCAGGGGTGCAGCTACCTTTGAGTCACCCATGCTCCTGTTAATAATTCTACCCCACAGTCCTATAAGTAACCCCATAAACTCACTAGCTCAATATGATAGACTTGGGTGGAATTCTTTGTTCTGTCATTCGTGACTGTATATGGGGTGAATAGGTATTTGTTTACTTCTCCCCAGGAAAAGTCACACAACACTTATGTTTCTAAAGAGGAAATAGAAAACCTTCCAAGTCAAATAATTAATAAAACATCCATGATTTCAGCAGATGTATAAATTATCCAAATCTATTGGCCAGTAATTACATTTATATTTGAAGAACAGATTAGATGGGATTCAGAATCCATATGCTACTGACATCTGCTCCAATGTGGAAGAAAAAGCAACATGTAAGCCGAATGTTAATACCATTTCATCCAAAGCTGCCAGTCCACAGATTGTCCCCAAGATCATCGTTTTTCAACAGACAAATATAAATTAATAGCCGCCTTTGCAAAAGTGTACATTTTGAATTTCCCAATTTATTTTCAACTATCTTTTTTTTTTCATTGAATTGGTTTGTTTTTTCTTCTTTTTTTTTTTTCCTCCCCACTGGTAATCACAGACCATAGCCATGACCTTGACAAATGGAGAACTGCTCATACTTCCAGGTACCAATGGGCAGTCTGAAAAAACTAAACTGGATCCAAATGGAGTCACTGAGAGATACAACTAGATTAATTTATCTATTTTCAATTTTACTTTTTATTTTTATGTATGTGTATGATTCTGTGTGGTATATTCACATGCATGCAGGTGATGGGGAAGGCTAAAAGAGACTTTTAGATCCCTTGGAACTGGAGTTACAGGCAACTGTGAGCCACCTAACATGGGAGCTGGGAACTGAACTGCCTTCTGCAAGAGCAGAAAGCTATCTCTCTAACCCCTGCAACTAGATTTCAGTCACACTGGGAAAAAAAAAAAAAAAAAAAGGCAAACCCTAATGTCATTTATCCCTGTGTTACTGATTAAACTTTCCTAGTATTTTGAAATGATTAATCAATTCCTTCTATGAGCCACCTAACTTGACAAATAGAAATAAATAGCTACTTGATGAGTTAACTTTCAAATTCATAGATCATGCCAACCATCTGGTGTTTCAAAATCCGCATTCTTAATCTATCTACAAAATAATTTAAAAAGTGTAAAGCCACTGAAGGGCACAAGAGGACAACCAAACACAATGTATGATCTATGCCGTTAGGAAATATGTAATAAATGTCAAGAAACTATTTTAATTCATGGGTTTGTCGATACCGCTCACCGCCAAGTTCTGCACATAACATGGTGCTGACAGGCAGGAGTCTGTGATTGTCTTTATATTTTTGAGGCAAACTTTTGTTGTGTGGCCCAGCTTGCCATGAACTTAAAATACCCTGTGTAGAAGTCTTTAAGAACCAAAATTTAAAAGATTTGTTTTCTTTTTAATTATGCATTTGTGTGTGTATTTTTGTGAGTGTGCATATAAGTGCATGTACTTGTGGAGGTCAAAAGTATATGTCAGATCCCTTGCAGCCAGAGTTACAGGTGACTTTGAGCCACCCAACATAGATGCTGGGAGCTAA